AATATTTAACAAATAATACATTCTGTTATTAGGGAAATTCAAATACACCCAGCAAACATATGGCATTATAAAGCATTTTGTGAATGTTTTTCAAACAAAATTTATTTGTACAATGTCTATAAAACATTGTTTAGATACTACGTGTTTGGTGGAATAGCATCATAACATAATACCAGTTATACCTATAAATGATATACATGCATAATAATAAGCTTTTTTTTTGCGTAGGTATCTTTTGGGTTATGAAAACCTACTCCGATTAATTGATTGCAGCCTTACGGTACCGGTTTGGAATTGGGCTTACTTTTCAGAAATAGCATGGAACCAAGCTTCTGATTATCACATGTGGGATGAAGATGGAGGGTTCGGTGGAAATGGTAACGCTAAAAAAGGATTTTGTGTCGACAACGGCGAATTTCAAGTTGGAAAATGGCAACCGTTGAGGTAAGTTTGAACCTTTTTTTTTTATTAAATTTTAAAATTATAAAGGGATAAAAATGTAAAAACAATAGCAAGCGTTTCTTTATTTTAGAATTTATAAATAAATAAATTTAAAATCAGGTATTTTCTGATTTTCGAAACTTAAAAAAAGTCAAAAATCGTAGACAACCAGATTAGCTGTACCCGATTAAAGCCGTCATATAAACGCAGATAACTAAATAATAACCTAGTAAGAAATAACTTCACTTTGTATAATTTTATCACATATTATTGCATTTAGATATTCTTCAGACATTTCTATTAGAACGTGTAGAATTAATGAAATAATTGATGAGAAATGCTTAAATACTACAGAAATATCCGCTTTCAAATCATGTTTACGCCGGAGATTTCATGGCAAACTTCCAGAATATAATATAGTATTGAAAATTATAGATAGTGTTGAAGATTTATTGTCATTTGAATTAGTGACGAGGTCATACTGGCACAGCCTTCTCCATAATATAATTGGTGAGTTTTTTATAATATTAATTTTACTTCATAATATAATTGGTGAGTTTACGTTTCAGTTGCTATTGTTTTTAAAGTTTTTTTAACAGCGTCCATAGTATTATTTTGAAAAACATTTAAAAAGTGTCCCAACTGCATAAGTACGTACAGAATTATAATGGCTAAAAGTTAGATTAAATTTTAATAAACTTTTTATAAAAAAATATTTTTAATTTTTTTAATTCCGTAACTAATCTTCAATATTTATATATGTATGTACATATGTGTATATATATATATATATATATATATATATATATATATATATATATATATATATATATATATATATATATATATAAATGTATATAAATATATATATATATATATATATATATATATATATATATATATATATATATATATATATATATATATATATGTATATATAAATGTATATATATATATATATATATATATATATATATATATATATATATATATATATATATATATATGTATATATAAATGTATATATATATATGTATATATAAATGTATATATATATATATATATATATATATATATATATATATATATATATATATATATATATATATATATATATAAATGTATATATATATATAAATGTTGAAGATTAGTTACGGAATTAAAAAAATTAAAAATGATTTTTTATAAAAAGTTTATTAAAATTTAATCTAACTTTTAGATTAAATTCTAATAAACTTTTTTATATATGTTTTTTTAGGAGGTTATATGGAAACAACATATGCTTCATTTGCTCCAGAGTTTTGGTCTCATCATGCGATGTTAGACGCTGCTTGGTATTTTTGGCAACAAAAAGACAAACAACGTATTTCACAAAAGTTTCCTGGCACTAATAATACTCTTTTAGCATTTCAACCTCCTGAACTTCGTAATAATTACATTAATTCTAAATCATTAGGTGGATGTGGAATACAAGTAGCATACGAACAAAAATCTATTCTCCCTATAAAATTACGAATTTCAAATAAATGATTTTATTTGAAATGATATTACTGCAACAGTAACTCTCAATCATTGATTATATATAATTATTGCTTATTTTATATTTTATGTTTAAATACCAGTGCTGGATTAACCAATAGGCCAGACTTGACTATTATCAGAGGCCTCAAATGATAAAAAATCCTCAAAAACTAAATGTTCCAAATTCTATAATCTTATTTTTTAATCTAATTGGTATTTAGACAACTTAAATTGTTAATTACCCAATAATGCAAAAAATATTATTATTTTTTTATGATTGTATTTAACTCGAAACATTTCTGTACAATCTATGTAGTTCAAAACAAAATAAAAAACATCATTTTTAAATAAAAAAAATTTAAAGAAAAAAAATGTGGCCTTTAACAGTTTCCCGCACTGATAAATAACCAATACAAGGTACAGAATAAAAGTAAATAAAAGAACGCTCAAATAAGCATGCATATATATAAAGTATATATATGTATGTGCGTGTGTGTATATATGTATGTATATATATATATATATATATATATATATATATATATATATATATATATATATATATATATATATATATATATGTATGTATGTATGTATGTATGTATGTATGTATGTATATATATATATATATGTATGTATATATATTATTTTCTTTATTTCTGTACTTTCATTTTAATTATCACGTTTCAATGCCTTTTTGTTTTGATACCTATAGCATAATAAAACAGTTTGTATAAAATATTATCATAAACAAACAAAATAAGGTTTCTTTCTGTGCAATTTAATTTTTGTCGTTGTTGTTGTTGCTGTTGTTCTTTATCATAGTTTTTTTTATAAATGTTTGTTACCAGAAAAAACTTAAAGTTTTCTAATAAATGTTTTACTCTATAACAAAATCCTTGATTTTAAATGCAAGATTTTATAAAATATTTTTAAAAGTTATTTCATTCACTACCCTCCGTTAAACTCTGCCATAAGTTATCGGCTGGTTAAAAGTAAACGGCAGTTTTTAATTGTCAGCGATAAAATAAACTCCTATTGTTATGTTTCATTTGGTTAACGACAGGAGTAAACTTATTTATCTAAAGGCTTTTCACGCGAAAATCTAACCCTGCTATACCCAACAGTTAAAACTACAATCGGTGGAATTTTCAATAATACTAAAAAAAATAAAAATGATATCCAATCAAAACGAGCGTAAACAAATAAGTTTTATTTAATATATATATATATATATATATATATATATATATATATATATATATATATATATATATATATATATATATATATATATATATATATATATATATATATATATATATATATATATATATACATAGCGTAAACAAATAAGTTTTGTTTAATATATATATATATATATATATATATATATATATATATATATATATATATATATATATATATATATATATATGGTCATCCAATGAAATTTGAAAGAGAATTTGCAAAAACAACACCGAGACATAATTTTTTACGAACAGAGTGATACCTCATTGGAATGCTTTACCTGAAAATGTGGTTTCTGCAATGACAGTAAATTCTTTTAAAGCTAGACTAAATAAACATTTGTTAACGGCTGTTAAAGTATAAATTTTATATTTTATACTTCCGTGACAATCGTCGTTACAGCAGTTTGTATTACTTTATTACTATATATATATATATATATATATATATATATATATATATATATATATATATATATATATATATATATATATATATATATATATATATATATATATATATATTAGTGACTAAAAGTTAAACTCTTTCTTATTTAACGTTAAATTTCCATTAATTTTATAATAAATGATATATGCCAAAAATATATATACTTTTTTAGCTTGTATGTGAATTAACACGCAACGTGCTAGGGGTATTTTATAACAAGCACATGGAAAAATTCCTATACTGAGGCCAAGGTAGCAGCATGGGTTTTTGCCTACCCCCTTTTAGTAATTGTTTTAGAAAAACATGATTTTAAAAAGATTATTTTTTAATTTAATACATCAAGTGCTACTTTGAAATAACAATTTTATTATTTGGAAATTGTTTTTTGCGTTCAAAATCTATGTTTTCGAATTACATGATCATACAGGATTGTTGCAACAAAACATGGATTGGGTGAGAAATATAGGTTTGTATACGCCCTAAGACAAAGCCTTGTAGAGGTTTCACGAAACTTTCTCTGTTTGAACCATACCAAGCATAAGAAGAAGAAGTTAGCCAAAGTTTTTAACAAAAATTTCCATGTTTTTTTGTGTGTAACACTAAATTAAATATTATTTAAGAGTTGTTTTTCATATGTTTTTGAAATATATTTTATTTAGCTTTTAGATAATAATAAAATATTATAATTAAAAAGTTAAATAACATTTTTTGTATGTTTCCTGCTAAGGGTTCATTTTAGCCTAAAAAAAGTTTATTTTAAAAATAAAATAATATTTGAATAACTAATTGTTAATTTCCTAAAAAGAAAAGAAACAATACAAGCTACACAGTGACATAACTCATTTCAGATTTAATATACAGTTTAAACTCTAGGAGAACAAAACCTCTACTTTTGTGCATTAAAGAAGATCGTGATTTGTGTGTCACAATAAAATTACTTAGTTTTAATATTTTGATCCGTTTGCAAAATTTGAAGAAAATAGAGTTATGAGAAAATGTTTAACCCTTAAGAGTGGGGAGGCATAAACATAAAATTTTTACAAAAATCAAACTAAGTGTTAATTAGATATCAACTCTTGTAACTTTTCGTATTGCGGCGTGTTTTGATTAAATTTAAAAAATAACGCAGCAACCATTATTTAAAAAATCGCCGGTTGCGATTTACCAATTAAACACACTATCATTGTCTGTTAACATCGTAACGTTTAGATGCGATGAGAAAAACAGCACGAAAACTAGTTAAAAAAGAATTTTAAATAAAAAAATTAGAATACAGGATTAATTTTTTCTTAACGGACACTCAACTTCGTTAGTTAACAGAGAGAAGTAAATACGGCTGCAGTTACTTTTATTAATATTAAGTTTATTTGTTTTAAAATGGTCGGAAATTCCTACTAGTTCATTAATACCAATGAAGTGATATGTTGAGATAAAAATTGTGTAATCTGTAAACATAATTTTCATTAAATTTGTAGCTTAATGGATACTGTTGATGTAAAAAGGAAAGACAAAAGGTTCAAATATTAATCTCTAGGGAACTCCACAGGTATCAAGCTAAGTCAGTGTTGATACTATATCAACATACACAAACTGCTTTCAATCATTTAAATAGCTAAGTTACTCAATGAAACGCTGCTTATTCCTTAAAGTTTCAGTTTGTTTAAAAGGAGTTTATGGTCTATGGTATCAAAGACTTTGGTTAAGTTAATAAATTCATAACTGTATGTTGAGAATTTTAGTTACATCTTTTGTAAACTCAAGAAATGCATGTTGAGTTGGTTTTAAGAGCTCATATTTTTTGCAAGGTATCAGATTAATAAAAGATAGATGATTATAAATTCGGTTCTACAAAGGCCTCTTAAAGGTAGAATAGGTTAATTATGATACATATTTTGTTAATTTATATGGTTTAGCAATAATTTTTTCGTTGATACTACCTGCATCAACTTTTCGTTGATACTACCTGCATCAAAAAGTTTGTTCGGTTTTAGCATTTTAAATGCATTTTCAAACTTTTTAAAGGTTAGTTCAAAGGAATCAAAACTATTAGGAAAAAAATATTATTAATTAGATTAACTGCTGGAGTTTTCTTTAGATATAAACGGTCCAACAAAAAATAAATTTAATATGCTTACTAACTTTCTCTTCTTGATCCTACAAGAATTTGTTATTATTATAAATGTTTTATGTGAACTGAATGTTTTTATTTTAAAACTGTCTGTGCATTTTAGTTATCATTTTTTTAAGCATTTTCCTTTAGTGTTCAAACTGTTTGGCAAAACTTTATAAATAATATTGTTTTTTCTGTTTTATATTTTCTTAGCCGCTTAGTAAACCATGGGATTTAATATTTATTTTTATTTTATTTTTTTCCTTTTTTTGATTCTTGGGAAATTAGTATCGTAAGTTTCAAATAAAGTTTTTTTAAAAGAGTTGTTAGCGAGGTTTGCAAAAAAATGTTTCTGTTTTCTAAAATTAAAATTCTCTCTTGAAAACAAGTTTTTCTATTCAATTAAAGTTGTCTTTAAAGTTCTTTTAAATTAGTAAAAGATAGTGTTTTTGAAAGATGGTGTTGGTGAAAGATAGTGTTGGTGAAAGGTGATGTTGGTGAAAGATTGTGTTGGTGAAAGATGATGTGGGTGAAAGATGGTGTGGGTGAAAGATGGTTTTGTTGAAAGATGGTGTTTTTATTGAATTTGATAAAAAGTTTTACAAATATAAGAAAATTGAAAGTGGTGAAACCGATTTACTAAGTACTGAACTTAATGATACTGTAATAGCTAAACCTTTTTTTTCTCACTCTTTACTAATATAAGATATGAGCAGTTAGGTTTGTTATTTTTAATTGAAAGAGTAAACATTTTTGTAAATTAAAATAGTCAGTGATAAACGCCCCAAAAACCATTGGAATTGCCTTTGCGTTTTTTAATCTAATTTTGTAAAGAAAACTGGACAACGTCAATATTGAGACAACATTAGCTTCAAAATTATTGACCAATAATACCAGCTTCAAAAATTTAATTGTTACCTTTTACAATAGATTGGTTAAAATCAATTTTAACAACAAAGTAGCTATTAGCAAATTAAAGAAAAACTATGGTTACTTTATTTAAGTTACGTACTTTGACTAGCTAGCAATGTCAAAACTGTGGTTTCTGGCAAAAGTGCTACATGAATGGGTAGTAAAGCGGTTGTGTATCACCATTTAAAAAAATTTTAGCAAAAGATTTCAAATCAACCATGAAATATTGACATTACTAGAAATCAAGTCAGCATAGACTTTTCTTTTAGTGACAAAGTACATTGTCCGAGAGACTTTATTTACCTGACAAAAACGGTTGTCTTGTGATCATATTTTCAAAGGAGCAAGAACTTACAATATGGCTTAAAACTCAAAAAAAAGATCATTAAGTTGATTACTGACTATTTTTTTATTTTCAAAACTCTTTCAACCTACAATAACAAATTCAACTGATTTTTTTCTCATATTAGGAAAATATGATATAAAAAATGTTGTTTCTGTTACAGTATCTAAATGTTTGTACTATTACAGAGTTAGTACTATTAAATATTAGTACTATTCCAATGTTTAAATGTTAGTACTATTACAGTATCTAAATGTTAGTACTATTACAGTATGAAGAAGAAATACTTTAGGATTTTTAAAGTATTGCTTTTAAAATTACAAAATACTAAAATTCAACAAAGCAACCGATTCAATTCAACAAAGCAAACTATCATCAGTAGAACTTGGAGCAAAAATATTTTTATAAGTTTAAAAAAATTTTAAAATAACCCTGAAGCTGCGTGTGCGTGTGAGTGAGTGTGTGTGTGTGTTTGTGCGTGTGTGTGTATGTTTATCAACCATGGATTAACTTATAAGCAAAATAAGTAGAGGACTAGAACAACAGACCAAAAGGGCCGCAAAAAGGTGGGATTTTTTTTTTAGACCAAATAAATCAAAACCCAATATCATTCTAAATGAAATATTAAATACTGCTTTAAAACTCACTAGTCAATCCAGAGTGTAGTGTAAATTATGTAAGGTCTTATCTACAGCGCATTATTATCGACCTTGAAAAAAACTGCTGTCAGAAAAAAAACATGAATTCTCGATTGCATATGTATTCACTTTGACCACCAAACTTTTAATGCATTTATTGTCCAAATTTAATTAAAAGTACAAAGAAAATGAAATGCAGGTAAACAAGTGGCATAGACACTAAAAAAAGATAAACTGCGCCCCCCCTCCCTCACCACCACCACCACTTCAAAACCCGACGACACGGGTTTTGAAGTGGGGGGAAGGCATAACTATCAATTTGTGAAAAAAGTCCTCTATACCAAGATTTTTCTTAAAATAAAAAAAAGTCCTTAAATAAAAAAGTGGGGGGATACGTGCCCTCTGCCCCCCCCCTTCCCCCGTGTCGTTGGCCCTGAATAGAAAAGTTGGAAAATCAAAACCTGGTTTTAGAAATATCCAATGTTAACAAAGTATTTAAAACTAACAGCTAATGCAATAACAGAGCAGCAGCAACAAAAATGTGCTTCAAATCAAAATCAACAATGATTAGTAGCATTAACATCAAGAGTAGTAAAGAAAACACCATATCCAGAGGTACCAGATTTAGAATCGTCTTTTTCCAGTAATGATGTAGTAAAAATATAAATTTGCCTTTTGTGATACAGAAAAGAAGTTTGTTTTTTCGAAAAATAGAAACTACATGGGTCTTTTGGAACTTTTAAACCAGTTCAATCTATTTTTAGCAGGTCACATGTTTAGGTAACATAGAAAACCATTCCTATCTTTAAAAGGAAATTTTCGAGGAACTTATCAAGCTAATGACTAAAAAGACTCATTCAAGCATCGCCAACGAAGTCAATTCCACTAGCTACATCAGTATTTCTGTTGATTCAACACTTGATCTGTCACAGGTGAGTTAATTATCTGTTGTTGTTTAAAACTGAAAGAACATTTAGTGAAGTATTGGATTATCAAGTTTTGCAATACTAAATAATTTTTAGTAAGTTCAGGGGCCAATTGCATGACAATGCAGCTAATATGTCAAAACAATACAAAGGGATGCAGCAAAAAGATAGGAAAAAAAAACATCTACGTCCTTCTTGCAGTCCACTTTTTAATTCAGGAGCTTAAAATATTATTTAATATTATAAGTATGAAACTAAATAATAACTATTAAAACCCATATGTATATGTTTAGTCAATAATTTACTTAACTATAATGTTGACTAAATATGTATATTAGTTGTTAATAGCAACAATGTTGTTTTTATACTCTTTTTTGACTTTTTTTTTTTTACGGGGTTCTCGGGTTTAAAACACTCTCTCTAAACTCTTTTTTTTTTTGGAACTTTTTAATTGCAAAAAACATTTCAGTAATTATATCACTTATTTTTTTATATAAATTTTTACTTTAGGTTATATTTTATGTTATAGAAGTAATCACTAGTGTTTTAAGTTTTGTAAAAAAGATTTGTAGAAAATACTTTTTGTGACGAAAAAAAAAACTAAAGTCAATCGAAAAATTATGACTGTTTTTGCTTCCGTTTAATTGCTGTTCTTTTATAGGCTTTATGAAGTTTTGATTAGTTTTAAATGACAAACTCCACGATTGGTTTTAAATGACAAACTCCACGATTCGTTGCTTTATGTCTAATTATGAAAATGGTCTATTAAAGTTTGTAATTTGAACAGAGATGCGTGTCATTATTAAAAATTTGAAACAGTTAACCGTTAAATCAAAGTTTTGAATCAATTGTTACATTATTGACTAATTTTGTCCAAATCTTTTTATAACTAATTTTTTTTTATACTATTACCTGGATAAGAAAAAAAAATTGAACAATGTTTTTCGGTTCACTTGTCAGTGAACAAAAAAATTATGTATTGAATATTTAGCAGAATAATGTATAGAATAGATTAGTGTTAGATTAACACATAACACGTCTAACATATAAACATATAACACATCTAACATATAAACATATAACACATTTATCATATAAACTAATATAATAGATTAACACATCTATTCTATACTTTTTAGTTTCGTTATTTAACTTGTTTTACTACTTTTGTTTTATAGTAATTCAAAATAATTGTCTGGAGAACATATTGTTTTCTAGTTTTTCACCTTTTCTCGCTTAGAACCTTTGAAGAAAAAAAAAAGATTCTATACTATAGATTATAGTTTGTTGCTACTTTTTGTTGTTTTTGTCAGCTTTTGTTGTTACTTTTATGTTTTGTTACTTTTATATACAAAAACTATAGTTTTTTGTTACTTTTATTTTCATTGTGCTTTAATTGCACCTTAAGAAAATTAAAAACACGCTTAAGAACCCTAAAAACTACTAAACCGCCTATGACTTGAACAATCTTTAACTATAAGTTTTTTAAATTTATGGACTTAGAAGTAGATTTAGAAGTGGACTTAGAAGTAGATTTAGAAGTGGACTTAGAAGTGGTGAAGTGATAAGGCAAGTATTGCCTTATCACTACACCACTATATCGGGGTGTATTGCCTTATATTGCCAAGTATTGCCTTATCACTACATCACTAATCGGGGTGTAGTGATAAGGCAAGTTTTGTCTTCTTTTAACCCCGGTCATGTAGATCTTATTTATATTACACGGCATTGTATTCTTTTTTTTTACTGACGAAATAAAAAAATAAAAAAATAAATAAATAAAAAAAAAAAGAAGTAGATTTAGAAGTGGACTTAGAAGTAGATTTAGAAGTGGATTTAGAAGTAGATTTAGAAGTGGACTTAGAAGTAGATTTAGAAGTGGACTTAGAAGTTTTAGAAGCTCTTGAGAGTATTTTTAGTTTTTTTTTAACTAAAAACCTCAAACTTTTATTAGAAATCGCACAAGCAAACGAAGTTGTCAAAGCTCATAGTGTCAGCTGCTTCAAAGCAAAATTTGATTAGCTATCAACATAATTACTACAACCCATCATCTTTCGTGCAATCATGTACGAGCTGTAGATGGGCTTACGGGACACGCCCGTTCCGTGTAATTTAATATAACCAAAGTAACTTGCCATGAATATCAAATTTTAAATTTGCTTTCTTAAGATTTAAAATACATTATAGTCTTTTGATAAGGTTAAATTAGAGTAAATTATTTTAGTTTATGAGATCTCATGAACTAAAGAGCAGATAATAATCTCCGACGACGATATTCATTCGTTAATTCGAGATAAAGTTTGAAAATTTTGCATTCTCGAGAATCTTTATCTCGATTATAAATATCGGAGATTACTTTCTGACCTTACGAGACCATTACTGGATTTACATTAAACTGCATTAGTTCAAGATTTTTCAATACACTACTAAATTTTTAAAATATCTTCGATTTTTCTGGATAGCGATGGTAAGCAAAAACTTGTATTTTTATAGTTTACTATTTTAGGCCTTAGCTAGTTTATAGAAAGCAAAAACTTGTTATATATTTTTTATAGTTTCTATCTAAAGTCTAAAAAAGTCTAAAAAGTGTTATAGTTGTTGAGTTTAGTTATGATTTTTTTGACTATAACTCCAATTTAATTGTTTTATAAAATTCTAGAGATTTTTTAAAGAAATTTCATTTAATCTACAAATTATTGTTTATATTTTGTAGTCAGATCATACAATACTTCTTGTTCAACCAAGCAACAAACTTGAAACAAGGACTTATTCAGATTTTGAAACTGTTGATGAATGCATGGAAGGTTAAACATATTTTCTTTTGTCTTTTGCAGGTTTTCAAACAAAAGCAATTAATATTAATACTTGATTGAAAATATTTCATTTAAAATATATATTTAATTAAATGAGGTTTCTTTTTGACTTTTAGGAGTTTGCAAAATTTATGAGGAGCATTTGAAGAGAACACACCCAAACAGCCCTTCGATTACATATGATATTAGTCAGCTATTTGATTTTATTGACAATCTAACTGATCTCAGCTGTTTAATGTAAAATATTTTATTAAAAATACTATACATACATACATACACACACACACACACACACACACACACACACACACACACACACACACACATAAATGACTTTGCACGCTGTCATAAACATTAAAATTACAGTGAAAAAAAAAATTACTATTATTAATTTTTTTTTATTTAATTTTTTTCTATAAAATCAGTTGGAAGTAAAGGTGGTATGTTAAAACTTGTAAAAATTTTATTTTCTATTAATTACAACTAGTAATTTACAGTTTTTTTTTTAATTACTAATTTACAATTGGAAGTGATAAAGCTTTTTAAAATTAGTTTTTTTTTTCTTCATGCTTTTACAAAGGTTTCAAAATTAATTATCAAGTCTGTTTGTTTTATTTCAAAAGTTTTTATTACCATAAACTGCTTTAAAATCTAAAATCAGTATTAACAAATTGAATCCAAAACAGAATTCAAGGTGGAAAAGCAATCAATAAACAATTTTACTTGGCACTCAATGCAGTCATTGCAATGTGATTGTTTTTGTATGTATATATATATATATATATATATATATATATATATATATATATATATATATATATATTTATTTATTACGTTGGGTCAAAAAACAACAGTTTAGAAAAATATCTGCAGCATGCATCCTAATAAAAGTTCTAAAAATAATAATCATTTTATAAAATGCATCGTCATAAAAAATTTATATTTAAAAAATCATGTAAAAGATCACTTAATAGTCAAAATGAGGTGGGCAATAAATTGTTGATCTTAAACTGTTAGAGGTTGGCAAAAAAATTTGACACGAAGTGGTTATCATAAAAAATAGAAATGGGGTCTGCGGCATTGTTGAATTCCGACTCTAATTCCAAGGGTTATATATATATATATATATATATATATATATATATATATATATATATATATATATATATATATATATATGTAGAACACATAATGCAAGTTGCAGATATTTTTCAGAAATGTTGTTTTTTGAACCATCCTTTTATATATATATATATATATATATATATATATATATATATATATATATATATATATATATATATATATATATATATATATATATATATATATATATATATATGACTTCCTGTAATTTAATTTTTGGTATAAATCAATTTGATTATTTATTTCTGATAAATCTTTATCGATGAAATACTGTATAAAATGAAATAAGTTTGATGTGATTTCTTACTTAGATGAAAATTTTTACTTAAAAAGGCCTCATTTTAATGACACCATGTTTTTATTATAGATTTTTGTAGTGGAGTTAAGTTCTGTTTAGAACCTTCTGTTTTAATTTTACTAAATAGTTTTTGATGGAGTTTTAATCAGGGAAATTGGCCTCAGGGCTAACACAATTACATTTTTTTCCGTGTCTGATCACAAGTTACCATCTCTTTAAAATATTTCAGTGAATAATTTCTAATTCAAAATCAATTAGATGCATTAAACTTTATTCTCTTGAACTTAAAGTTTAATGCATCAATTAGATGCATTAAACTTTAAGTTCAAGCCAATTGTGAATATTTTTTTGATAGTTGCATCTTTGAACTGGGTAGACACTAACATTAACATTGGGTGGGCACTAACATTAACATTGGGTGGGCACTAACATTAACACTGGGAGAAAGTTGAGTAAATTAAAATCTGTATATTCACAGCCAATCGGTCAAATGTTTTTGTATTAATATTTCTTGGTCTTTGTGGAGTTTTTAGAGTAGTAATTTTTGGTCAAGATTTTTCTAGGTTAATGCATATATTGAGTTGATGAACTGAATGATATCTCAATCAGTTTTCAATTAAAACTTGCAGACTTGTTGCCTTTCGTTGCAGACTTGTTGCCTTTCGTTGCAGACTTGTTGCCTTTTGTTAACAGTTGTATTTGTGCAGATTTAACAAATGATTCTGTAGCCTAAAACTATAATTATAAGTTGCACATTATACATCATACTCTGAGATAGTGATAAATTGCACATTATTTTAATTAATATAGAGGATATAAAATATTTTCTATTGGTTGATAACTACGCAATTACCCAGGTAGTGCATGATTGTTTAGTTTGTTGCCAGCACCTATATTTTGTATTTATAAGTAATTATTTATAATAGTTACGAGTGATCATATTATTTTGACCATAATTGTGTGTGTGTGTGTATATATATATATATATATATATATATATATATATATATATATATATATATATATATATATATATATATATATATATATATATATATATATATATATATATATATATATATATATATATATATGTTTAATAAGATATATGTATATATATGCACACACACCACACACACACACACACACACACACACACACATTTGTGGACTTGTATACATTCATCATACATACATAAAACAGCTATGATTAGTTACTTAAATATTTTAGATTGGATAAAAGCAAGCAGTTATATGCACCTAAAGGCAAAGAGTACATAAAAGATCGGATATATAAAATGCTACGCGGACAAGCAGGAAAGTGATAACATTATAACTAAAAAAATCTGAATAAATTGTTTTTTAAATAACATGAAAACAATATATCAGTGTTTGCTTAGTAACACTTAAATAGGATATGATAAAATGGTATTTAGTGTAAATTTGTTTAAAACCCGTACAATAAAATTATAGTACTAAACTGTGAAAATAGCATAACTAATTATGACAATTAAAGTATCTAATAAAAAATAATAAGTTTTTTGTGTGATTTTTGTCTTATATTATTACTCCCTATTGTTATTTATTAAAAGTCGTATAATCTAAAAAAAGAAACGTTTAAGAAAAAAAAAAATTTTTGCTTATTTATTTTTTAAAATATGTTAAAAAACATGAAAGTCTGATAAAATGTTTTGTTTTAATACGTTTTTCTTTTATGTAGTTTTTTTCTTTATAAAATATGATCTTTCTCTTTTTCTTGTTTTTGTTAAATAAAATTTTTCTGTTTATATCTAAGACTGAAAATTTTTTGTTTTAAGTTGGTAACTAAATTAAAGTTATCAAACTTTTTATTCAAAGTATTTACTGAAGAAAAAAGTTCTTTATACTGTTTTTGGTAATCTAGAGTTTGTTATTCTTATATGTGTGTGTGTCATATACACAGATTATATATATATATATATATATATATATATATATATATATATATATATATATATATATATATATATATATATATATATATATATATATATATATATATATATATATATATATATGTATGTATGTATGTATATAAAAGAAATGTTGAATTGTTTAGCTCCCAACCCCTAGAAAAATATTTGTTTATATGATAATCCTATCATATAAGCAAACAATTCTAGATGGTGGGAGCTTAACATTTTAACTATTGTAAACATATTAGAACATTTAGTTGGTGCTTAGAGGTCATTCAAGTTTGGAAGTTGGCTCGTATTCTAACTTGTTGAAAGCCATTGAAACTTGTTGACTTCACTCACATATATATGGTAAACTTGTTAAAACATGTTAACTTTACTCACATATATATAATGAACTTGTTGAAAGTTTCCAAATTTTAGCTACTGTTTAATAAAAGGTCAACTCTAAAAGCACGAAACGCGCATATCCGAGTCACATATGTCTAATAAAGACCAATTTTATGCCTAGATGCATGGCCTACTTAAATTACACGGCCTGATTTGTTGCATTTTCCGTAAAAAATTAGGAGGCCAGTTTTTTTACGGCTCAAGTATAAAAACTTCATTTTTGTTATGGTTAAGAGTCTTGTTTGCACTATACTTGCTTTATTTTTATTTTATTAAAATGGTTTAATAATAGTTGGATTTTCTTTGAGTACTTACATTATTTTGTGCTAGATTTTTTTATAACTGATTGCCTGCTTCAGTTCATTTCAATAACACAGAATACTGAAATAGGTTTTCAGATAGCAATATCAACACATATCAACATGCTACTAAAAATAATCTTACATATTGTTAAAACTGCCTACAACTCTACATTGGAAATAATTTTGAAGGTTTGTAATTTTGTATTTATTACAATTGCGATTATTAAGTAGAAAACATAAACTTTTCTTTAAAATATTTACACTGCAAAACAAGGTTTTGTAATGTAAATACTCTATTATGCTGCATGTCTCAAACATACAGCAATTAAAATGCAACAAATCAGGCCATTTATTTACAGTAGGCAAGAAATATCAGGCATACAAACTTTTTTGTATATATATATATATATGTGTATATATATATATATATATATATATATATATATATATATATATATATATATATATATAATTTTTTTGTAAATATAGATATAAATAAAAATTGCAAACTGAAAAACTATAATATATTAGAAAAATCATTGACAAAAATTTGGTATTAAGTGATTATTTGCTTCTTGCGGGTAAGATGTACTTCCAAAAAGCAGCCTAAAGTGGTAAACAGTTTGATGAAGATTGAGAAAATAATCTTTATGAAGAATTTGTTTTTGTTTTTATGATTACAGGATTTCAAAAATTATTTATGTTTTGAAATCCTCACTTAAAGTTTACATAACAGGTTTATATTTAAATAAAAAAGTAATTGATAAGTGTATTACCTCAATGCACCAATCTAAATTTAAGATAAGAGCTGTTGTTACCGGTAACCATTCTACAAATATTAATGCATTTTTATAGTTTCATAAAGGAAATATTTAAACTGAAGATGGAAAATTATTAATTTATCATTTAGTTTAGAAAAGGAGTGTTTAAAACATACTTGTTATTTGATAAACTTCGTTTTTGTTTTTTTCTTTTTGTTGAAGTTACTGCTGGTTACATTGCAGGGAATATATTTCTTAAAGTTTATTAAAAGATCAATTATTAAACAGGCAAGAAAAATTAATTATCAAGTCACATATTTTGGAAATAACAAACAAGTTGTCAACATTGACAATATTTGACGAAACAACTGCAGCTGTAATTTAGAGTTATTTTTAAGAAATAACGCAGCACAATTTTTATCATTGTTTTATAAGTTATTTATACTTTATTAAAAGCAGAAACTTAATTCATTCAATAAAATTCAGCAATGCTGCTTTAAAAGGTGATAACAAATCCACACTTTATTGAGAAATTGCAAATTGTACTGAAATTTGATCAAAATAATGTTTGATAAATACTTTACATTAACCAAACAAACATTTATGTGCTCTAATGACATCACTACAAATAATTTATTTCTTATGCATGATTTCGTATAAGAAGGCTTTACATTTGTTCTTAGTTCTAATTTACAAAGTGATCCTTTGGAGGTAGGTTTTAGTAAGTATAGTTAAATGACCAGTAGTAGACTTTTTGTGAGTCTTTTAGAAAGATGCATTAGTAAAAAGATTTTGGCAGATTTTCCCAGAAAATATTTATCAGAATTTTGATAATCCTTAAAAAATATTATGCAAGATATTGCTTAGTTTGTCTACATAAATACTACTGTCAGCTTTCTGAAGATAGCACAGATATATATACTAAAGCAAGTAATAATGGTAAAAATTAACAAAAAGATTTTGATGTTAAACTTATGATCAATAAACGTAACCTTATAAAGAGAAGAACCTATATATTCAATTCAACCTCTGTCTAATTTTATTTGTCATCTTTTTAGTATTTTATGTTATTTTTCTTATTCTAATAAAACATTGCAGTCATTCTTTTTCAATTAAAATTTTGCAAAACACATTTTAAAGATTTGAACTACCAATTTCATTTTTACAAATGAAAACCACCAAAAATGAGAAATCAAATATAGATCTTGTTTTGTTAATTATATTTTTATAATAATTTGCAAAAAAAAAAGTAGCATGTTGGTATGCGTTGATATAGTTATCTGAAAGCCTAATTCAGTATTCTGTGTTGCTGGAATAAACTGAAGCAGGCAATCAGTTAACAGAAAATCCAGCACAAAATAATGTAAGTACTCAAAGAAAATCTAACTATTATTAAATCATTTTAATAAAATAAAAATAAAACAAGTATAGTGCAAACAAGACTCTTAACCGTAACAAAAATGAAGTTTTTATACTAGAGCCGTAAAAAAACTGGCCTCTTAATTTTTTACAGAAAATGCAACAAATCAGGTCGTGTAATTTAAGTAGGCTATACTAGATGAACAATCTCTTCAACATTGCTTACGCTAATGCTGTCACTATGATCAAAATTCCAGACGATCTGTAGTTTCTTGCAGCACAACGGGAGTCTCATTCAGAGCTAACATGTGATACCTAGAAATCCGGACAAAAGTTTGGTCAACATAAATTGTTTAAGGAGTGTTGCAAAATTGTTGCAACTTATGCTATGCTGTAGTAAATTTAATTCTCTACAAATTGCGATATATCTTTTAGCAAACAATTATTTATAATGGCAAAGAAAATTAACTCAAAACAGGAAGACCTCAGAAAGCGCGTGTACGCTTTAATCAATTTGCATCCGGATATGAAGAAAAGTGAGATTGTGAGACACTTCATGATCGAAGGCGCATCAAGGTTGACCCTGTATGATATTCTACAGCGCAAGACGCTCAAAATAGGCCCTGAAAGGCAGCGTGGAACTGGACGGGTGGCAACCAAGATGAACACAAAGCGAATCACCATGCTGAAAAAGCAAATCGATCATAGCGACGGAGTTAGCCAGCGTCAGCTAGCCCGCGAGTTTGGTGGCGAGTATATTATATATATATATATATATATATATATATATATATATATATATATTTATATATATATATATATATATATATATATATATATATATATATATATATATATATATATATATATATATATATATATATATATATATTGTATATATATATATATATTTATATATATATATATATATATATATATATATATATATATATATATATATATATATATATATATACTTATAATATATATATATATATATATATATGTATATATATATATATAATATATATATAGTCATGAGTATAGTATATATATATATATATATATATATATATATATATATATATATATATATATATATATATATATATATATATACTATACTCATATATATACTATGAACGAAAAAAGTCCAAAAATGATGTTTGTTTCAGTGACTCGCACCATCTTTTTCAAACAGCTTTGAAGCATTCAATCCTACTCTTCCAATATCCCCATTATCAATTGCTTTACAAACTTCTTCAGTCGTTGAATTTGTCACCGTTTCATCCGACGTTTCATGCTTTATCCAAAAATTTATGTTACATGCTATATCCAAATCCTTCTTGACGGAGACGCGCATCCGCACTCTTTTTGCAGAAGTTTTTTTATTTTTTCAAGTTCTGAATATATTGTGTTTTTTTCTTTGGACCATCCAGACAATGTTTTCTTTGGAATGCCATATTTCTTTGATATAGATACAGATGATTCTCCTTTGTCGATTTCCTTTAGTATTTTGTATTTTTCTCTGTCCTTAAGAACTTTGTATTTTTCTTGTTATAGTTTTACTTGATAGCTTTCTTTTAGCAACTTTCGTCATTTTTAGTAAATAAAACTTGATCAAAGTATAACCGCATCGAAGATATCGGTGAAAATGTCTAATTTGTTAAATTAAGTTTGACGCAAAGGTAATTAATTTTCAAACGTTCTAAATTTTGAATTCTAATTGATATTTTTATTGAATTTAATCGAAGCATCACTGAATCGAAATATCCGTTATGT